AGATTTCCGACAATAGTCACACTCACCTGAGAAGTTTGAAGCGTTTTAAAGACGTTTTCAAACAGTTTTGAACAATATTGTCGATTTGAATGGATCAAGCAGCAAATAAATGTTAACAAACAAACACGTCAAACTAGCGGGCACTAGTGATGTAGTGGTAAGAGTGACTGCTATCTCACCCCAATGGGTCTGAGTTCAATCCCAGCCGAGGTCGTTGGGATTTTTCTCATGCATAAAAATCTCTGGTCACGTCTTCCTTCGAAAGGGAAGTAAAGCCTTTGGTCCTGGCCCATGTGTGTTATGCGATATACTACGCAGGTGTGGAAACTGCCTTCCTGCACATTCGATTGCTGTCAATGGATGGCAATCGATGTCCGTCGGTGATTGTGGAACAGAGACCGACATTAAATAAAGGAAAGAAGAAACACGTCATACGTGGGCGCGACACTGAGAAATTGCGAACAGATGCTCAGACATAGCTTAGACTGACGGCGATTTGACATTTTCAGCAAAGTTGATGGTGATAAGATTCTTCTCATGTTTGCTTAATACACTGTTAATTTTAAACGTTAAACCAAAAGGCCAGTTTTTTTTTATTTTATAGTAAGCCATGACTTATTTTACATACATGCATATTTAATGTGGGTAACTTCAATGGGAACAATTCTTCCGAAGACACTAGGAGCTTATAGTCAAGCACTAAGCTGATTTTGAATTAATTTCGTGGCATTGTGCAACCACTGTAAACTGTGCCACATTTCAACGAATCGGGCAATCATCTGTATTAGCGGGAGAACTTTCAAGTTTGTATGGAAAAATGTATGAAAAACGGAGCAAAACTATTCTTTTGCTAGTTAAAAATTTAAAAAAAAATGCTCAAATTTGACCAAACCGGAGATTGTGAAAACCATGCAAAACAGCTTTAACGAAGATCGCAAATCGATTAGACTACTGTGCAAAAAGCAAGGGATTGTGACCTGCCATACAAACTTCACCCACCCTAATGTCCATTCTGCAACGCACACAAGGTAATAATTGCACTAATGCTTATTAGAGATGGGCGATCCGCTCCCGAGCTGTTCTATAGACCCGATTATCTAAAGTGAGCTGATGACCCGCGGTTCATTTTTTAGGAACCACAGCTCATCAGCTCACTGATATCACAAGTCTAAACCATACTTTCCATCACTCAGCGGAACTTTTAAAAAGGACACATTACTCCACTTACGCATTGATCAGTTACCGCGTAAACCAAGACGCGCGCGTAATACAACATGTGCCTACTGATCGACAGCACCAACGGTAAAAGCAAACTTCCAAGCGGCTGTTTGGGAGAGAGAGAAATATGTACATGTGCTACACGATCTTAATTTTCTACTGGTATTGTGTGTGGCAGGATAATTTCTCAAAATGGGATTATACCATATGTTTTCTTTTTATGGCCGTACGACTGCGCCCATTGATTTAACATACGGCGGCTGTTTATCCACGATTCGTTTCTCAAGCCGCTACCATACAATACTATCTAAGTCTGGCTGTGTAGACTCTTATGAGCGGGGTTGCAGCGTGCTTATGAGCGGCCCGCTTCGACCGTCATCAAATGAGAATTTAACATAAACGCGACAATATTATCTAATCTATCTATGTACCCGGTAGCCTGTTCAGTGCGTATATTTGTAAAATTGTACAAAAAAGGTAATTTTATAGAATTTTGTTAAAATTTAGAATTGTATAAGTAATGTGAGTTCGTGTTGGATTTCCAGCGCTTTGCGCTTTTTTTGTACGGGCTGGATATATACGGTAACGTTCCGTTCGGCTATCGTCAACGCCGGTTCGGAGGTTCCATCTGTGGTATCGCCATGATCGTTCGCGGCTAAGGCCCGCCTTTTCGAAGGTAGCTAAGCGGAGGTGGGTGAAGTTCGCTAATCTTCGAAGCGAAATATCTTCCGACGGTCGCCAATCATTAAGTCATATCCCACGTAGTACGGACACCGTTTACGCGGTTTCCATTTACATTTTCTCTATTATCCGCATTTTTTGGGGGTTAACTGTGATAAAAGTTTAACTTTTTTAGTTAAAAACAAGTTTTTTATGGAATACTCGTTGGTTTCATATCGATTGGTAGCTCGGCTGCAAAATGACAATCGAAAACTCACACTGTTGTACAAAGTACAACGCGCGAGTACTCGTGTTACAAAAGTTGGCGCGAGTAACGGAGGGTTAAAGCCTTATTACGTTGTTTCCTTTTAATTCTACTACTATTGTATCATTTTCACATTCACTAATTCACTGTTCACTTTCAATACCACTTTAAAAAAAAAAACTACAACAGATCCGTATTTCGTTTGCTACTTGCAAACTTCTTCAGTCTATTCATAGAAGAAGTTTGCAAGTAGTATACGAAATTCGTATCTGTTATAGTTTTTTAAAGTGATATTGAAAGTGAATAGTGAATTAGTGAAGGGTGAATTAGTTAAAATGAAAATGATAGAATTATAAGTAAAAACTACATAATAAGGTATACAATTTACTAAAACGCTCTTTATTCAATTTAAAATATTTAAATCAATAATTACTACTTAAGTTCATGTATTAAGAAAAAGGTGCAAAAATGAAAACAGTTTTTTTTATCTACTTTTGATGATTCAATATGCATTACCTCTGGAACTACGTAAATAACTTGTTGTCGTTAAGTTTTTCTTATGTAGTGGTGCCGATGTAGTGGTACGCGTGATTGCCTCTCACCCCTGGGTCCAATCCCAGTCGGCGCCGCTGGGATTTTCTGAGGCATATAATCATACGGCGTGATCACGCCTGATCACGCCTGATCACGCCGGGAAGTAAAGCCATAGGTCCCCGGTCCATGAGTTGAGCCCCGCTAATCACCTTTTTTGCAATATAATACTGATATACCACTGATATAAGGTTTGGAAGCTCTACATTAACATTCTATTTTGTTTCTTAACGGGTGTTCAATAAAAAATTATATTTTTTTTTTCAGTCATATAGGGTAGAGAACTACTTCGGCCTAATCGCCCATTTTGGGCCTATCGAGCAGAAAACTTCAAATAAATCCATGATTTCAGAGTTAACAAGTCAATTATGCGTTTGGTACGATACTTTAGTTAATAAGCTACCGAACGAAGTCAATGAGAACGCGTGATATGAAGGGTTGCACCCATTATTCCCAAAAACAAAAGAAGCGCTCGGACCGAATCTATTTTTTTCTTCATCTGATAGGCCGAAGTGAATTCATTTGCGTTTCAATGGCGTTTCAATGCGTTAGGCCGAGCTTAGAATCCGTAGGCCGAGTTTGGCGTCAAGAAGCAGTGTTAGAATTTTGATAATATCTCAACGATTGGTTTCTCTTTATCAAATCTTACGGTACGTACGGAAAGGTAAAAGAATTTGGAAGCCATCAGTAATAATAACATTCCGTTTGGTGCTAAACTGCGCTAGATTAAGAAAGACTAAGTGCGAGCTGTGCTTAATAGGCCGGAAATGGGGTAGTTAACCCTAGCTAGAAAAAAAAAATTCCAACGAATTCAGTATTTTTTATTAAAAACATAACGTTTATTCTTCAAAAAAAACGTCAATGAATATTGGAGAAGGGGCCCTGGTCAGCCGTACGACGCAACTTAGTCGCGATGCTCTCACAAGAGCGTTGGACGGCACTGAAATCATTCTTATTTTTCATTGAACACCCGTTATGTAAAAACGATAGGAAAAACACGATAGTACCAGCACATTGCAAATTAAAATGTACTCATTCCGAGAAAATTTCGTTTGAAATTTTGAAACGTGGATTTAAAATATTTTGCAAATACAGAAATAAATGCATATTTATATTTCTTAGCAAATTCTCTTTTGAAAACAGTACCAAATCATACTTATAACATCAATCGGTCCAGAGATATTAACAAAAAAAAAAAGGTTTCTTGAAAATCTCGAAAATAAAGTGTTTCCCTTGACCGATCAGCACAAAAATTTAAATTAATTTAATTTGGACTTAAATAAATTTCCCATCCAAATTTGATCCAAATCAGAAGAGGTCAATTTCAACTACCTTAGACACTTGGGGTAGAATGACCCATGCTCAGAGGCAAAGTCTTAGCCTTAGATCTTGATTTTCTGAGGCATACAATCTGTGATCACGGAAGTAAAGCCGTTAGTCTCGGTGCATGTGTTGATGGGTTCGATAGGTTCCAGGTGTGGAAGGCGATTGCCTCCTGTGAATATTCACCAATTATCAATCGACGCTCGTAGGTGATTGGCACTCGATTGCGGACGAAAACTGACGTTAAATACATACAAAATGAACAAAGTGGCGGTTACAATTTTTTCAAACCTCACAATATGGCAATTTTGACTATTTATCCTGATTGATGAAAAATACAGCAACATTGGTTTTATGCAAAAGTAATATGGAAGAATAAATTTTAAATAAAGATTCCAAAATGGTGGTTTTGTAAAATATCAGGTGCTGCTGAAATTTCATCCAACTATTTCCGAATTAGATAGAATTCAACACAAATTTACACATTCTAGTGGAAATCAGTGAATAATTTGCTTCCCCAGTGTAGCTTAACTGAAACTTCAATAAAACAATGTAGTCAGATAAAGTACTCACAATACATGAATGAAATATTTGCATACCAGCTGAGGCCATAGGCTATCAGTTTTAACACGGTATTACCAAGCCGGAGGTGGTGGGATCGATCTTAAGGGTTGACATAATTATCGACTTCCCTAGGCATAGAATATGATTGTGCTACACAACTTACAAATTGCTTTGCATAGAAAGTTCTCAATTAAAACTGTGGCACTGCTTCAAAGAACATTAAGTTGAGAGTAGGTACAAGCTCGTATAAGAGCGCCAAAAGCCAGAAAGTAGAAGATGCATGCTACCCAGGAGACTGTGGACAATTATCATTTCTTGGATAGTTATTTTACTTACCTTTTCTTAATTCTATAACACAACCTTTCAGTTTTGAAGGAATAGCTGTCAAGTAGCTTCAGGATGGATGCCAAATTAGCTAAATCAATTTTCGACTTCACGGTCACTGACATCAACGGGAACGACGTGAGCCTGAGCAAATACAAAGGAACTGTATGCATCATCACTAACTTTTCCATCAAGGATGCAGCGTGTGAAAAAGTGTTCTCAATGCTTGCCGCACTGTACAAAAAACAACACGGCAGCGTACTGCAAGGTTAGTCATAAATGTGATTGCAATAAATCTATTGCAATGAAATGATTACTGAATTCTGAACATATTTTCTCTCTCAGATCTGAACATACTCCTTTTCCCGTGCTCACAGTTTGGTTCCAAGGAGTCAACGTATGATATTTTCGATTATTTCGACAACAACAGCGACCGTCCAGTTGGAGACGTTTTTGCTGAGATTGAAGTAAGTAAAAACAAGCGATCGTTGAACGCAATAGCTTCCAGCGTGTAGTTTGACCGAAAAGGATGTAGCGTCAATGAAAACTGCACCCGATTAGGACAGGCGGGAAATGTTTGGTTGTAATTTTCACGGTTTCAAACATGGCTATTTGAAACGTTCCCATAACGCACATTGATGCCATCGCTATTAATTGCTTTCCATAACGGCTATGATTGATAACCTACCATAATTGATTATCTCGTTTGCAGGTCAATGGCTCCAAATGCGTCGAATTGTATAAATATCTGAAGCAAAAGAAACCGGGAAACTGCGGAGGATTCATCAATAGCAACTTTACCATGTTCCTGACTGATCGGAATGGCGTTCCTGTGGAACGTTTCGGCTCAAACGTGCATCCCTACCTTCTTGAGGAACTTGTTGAACAATACTGTGCATGAGAATCTGTTAATTTAAGTCTAACCGGTTAGTTCATTATATGAGTATCAAATGTTGTCGATGGGATAGAAGATGCTGATTTATATTCTTTTGATCCCTTTTATAAACAGATACAAATTAATAATTAATGAACAGGGCATAGAAACCATTAATTGTAATGCATCATTACATTTCGTATCATGTTTAGAATTTCAGGGAAATTTGGAAAGTGAATTTAATATGTAGTTTTGAACTAAAGGTCTAAGGCCATTCAATCTTGTTTCAAATATGTATTATTTGTTACCATTTTGATTATCTCGATAGCACAATCTTTTTATAAGAAGATGCACCATTTTTTGTGAATCTTTTACAATTATTTGTTGAAAAACATGATAACAGTAATTGTCATTCCGTCAAGTAAAATCTTCTGATCGATTAACTATCAAATACATTTTAATGTATGAAACCTTGCTTGGATAATGTGAAAAATCTGCTCGCAATGCATGTAGCAATTATGAAAATGTTTAGTTATGTAAGCTATTGATTTTTTTGGGATGAATAAATGGAATTGTGCCAAATGTGATAAGTATGTTTAATGTTAAACTCCTTTTAGATTTCAAAAAGTCAAAAGAAACAAAACCCAATTATATTAACTTAGACTTAGCCTTTCTCGAACAAAATTTGAAGATGAACAATGATTTTTGACGTCTTGAATAAACTGTTCATCAACATAATGTTGCCTTCTTTTTTGCTGCTCACTCTTTGCTTAAACTAGAGCAATATGCATGCCTTAGTACAGTGAACAACTATTACTACTTTTACCATTTGTATAACATTATTTTATGCTACTCGGCTCCGTAGAGTGTTTAACACATTTGGGCCCAGCTAAATATACAAATGAAGACTAACATTTGAAAAGAACGGAGAAGCCTATATGTAATCAAACCATATTTTGCAATACACAAACTACTCAATAAACACGAAAAAGTAGAAGAAAACTTCATTCCAAATCCTCAAAAATGTTTTCTTTTACATGGCGTATTTCCAATTTTCAACTCTATGATACACTGGTTGTTACGACTAGAGTCGGTGTATAATTAGTCACGCCAAGAGTGAAGCCAAGTCTACATATTGGACTGTCAAACGATAAGTGCAAAATAAACAAACAATACGAAAGCTTTTTTTTTTGCAATAAAATATGAAATATACACGCAAACCAAAAATGTATGACATTGAATGTTAGTTGCATTTCCTATCATCCTCCACAGCGAATGATATAAGCTGACCTCGCAGACGATGTAATGGTTTTTTTTTCTTTTTTATGTCGTGTTCTGTCTACGCTTTCGAATATACTAGCAAGCATTTTATGTATAACATTGTAGAATGACGCACACACTTGCCACAACTTTCTCCAATTCCCGTTCAGCAGAAAAAAAAAACATACGAAGTCGAGTATGAGAGGAAGTAAGCGCTTCTTATTTGCTTTTAGCCTACACCCAACCGGGGGATGTAAGATTCGCTTACAATTATGTGGGATTCATCATTGGAGGATGTTAGTGGAGACCGCATGATCGGAGGATGCGATATACCGAGCTGCGTTCCAATGCAAGAAAATGGAGAAAGGAAAACGTGGAGCGTATAGTGAGTGAAATAAATCATGTCGAAAAAAAGGTTGCCGACTGGGACTCGAACCACGAACGTTGCGATTATCAGATCTGTGCTTTCTCCACATTGCTTAAATTCATCTGAATCAGTTAGAAATGTTGATGGGTTTGGGTGTGGTACTAGCGGGATAGGCAATATCACATATCGGTTCAATTTAAATTTTGAGGTGGCTCCTCTAGTAGGTAATATATCAATGAGTTTTTTAATTCTATTTTATCAAGTGCATTTTGAACTTTTCGCGGCTGTCGGGACTCAACGCGACCTATGGAGCTTTCGTAATGCGCAATTCGATAGAGCTTACCAAATGCGTTCTGAGTTTATGTAGTTGTTGGAATTTAGTCGGCACGGACGCGAAACCTTAGAATCTCTATAGTAGTGGAATATTTAGGGAGGAAACCAAAATTAATCAACTTGTCAGCATAGTTGATCACATCAATTTGAGTGGCACTCTGCTAATTAGCTGTTTTTTTTTCTGCTGTTTCGCACGGCGTTAAGAACTCGCTCGGTTTACGGAACTCACTTAGTTATAAGATATTTTATTTTTGAAAAGATTTACTGATTCAATCGGAGTACTACGCGAACGTATTCTTTGACTCGTTAATACGTTTATTCTATTTTGTTAAGTGCATTTTTACTTTTCGCGGCTATCGGTTTTAACGGTGTCTTTGGAACTTATGGGATTTACATCTCAATACAGATTCAATAGGATTACTACGCGGATGTATCTTTTGCCTCGTTAATACGCACTCATGTCACAGCATTTTTTCCCAAAACTATCTTGAAACAATACACAAGAACCAGTGTTCAAACTACCAACATAGGCTAGTCCTTCTGTAGTATTGTCAAAAGATAGAAGCAAAATTCCCTTACATGAGTCAAGTTTTGAAAACTAAGCTGTCACGCGGCTCCAGCTTGATACCATAAAAAATATCGTATTAAAATATTCCTAAAGAACCAAATACGGATTCCGGTATTTTCGGTAATCGGGTCGGTAAGGGAGTTCGTGAGCTCCCGAATTCAAAGCAAAGCAGATTAAATAGACTTATTTGACTTTTTTTTATCACTCTTACTCACTTTAAATCACTTTTGGACGCAAGGTTGCAAATGCACGTTTCGCATAAAACACTTTTTTAACAGAATTATTACATTATAACATATTATAAATATATTTTGCATTTGTTAGCTTCAAGAAGAGATTGTAAAGTATGTGTTTGACAAATAAAACCTATCAATTTCGCTTTCAGAAAGTCAAAATCGATGATTTTATGATGACTGATCGCTCAAGATGAGAGAGCACTCAGCAATCATAAAATAGCTGATAGTGGTTATCAGAAATTAAAATTGGTATTTGGTTCTATAACACATTCTACCACACGTTTTTGACTAGTGCTGGGACTCGGATTATCCGGATATTTTAATTTTTTAATTTTATTAAATTTTGGCAATTAACAGATCTGCCATTCAACATCAGGTCACATGGGCACCTAAAAACCAACTTTATGACAAATATATAGAACAGTAAAACGGAGAATTGTTAAAGGGAGAATAAATTTGAAATTTCACTATCCGGATGTCCGGATAGTTACTATCCGCCTGATAACGATCTAAACGTTTTCTCAATTTATTTATTTTTTCAATATTGGGCACTAGAAAGCATGATATTCTGTATACTGAATATCAATTTAACGATATTTAATTTGTATGAAAGTAGTTTAATTGCAAAAAACTGAAGTATCCGGATAGTTGAAGTCCCAGCTCTATTTTTGACTGATTTTTTGATAGTTTTTAAGCTGAAAATGAACAAAACTAAAAATATCCTTCAAATATTATTGAAGATTTGCAAAGTGTGATAAATTTACTAAAATAACTAACCACGAGTTTATAATTTGAGGAGCTCCAAGTGATTTGGTTGCGTGACGTTACAACGTTTTGCACTTTTCAACTACACTATTCAACAACTACTCACCAAAACGTTTTGAGCTACTCAAATCAAAAACTCTTGACAAGTCCCATGTGAAATTTGTCGCACTTTCCAAATGTGCAATAATATATAGGTGTTACTTTTCAGTTACTCTACAAAACACAGACAAAATTGTTGTAACGTCACGTAGAATGTGTCTTCTATATAAAGCACATACTTTGCAACATCTATTATAAATAAACAATATGGCTCACTCTTCTATTAACCCAAAAACAGGATTTTTACCGACACTAGCGCCACCAGTGACACAAAAAGTTACTAACCAACAAAGAATTTGAGCATTTTTTAGCTGAAGAAGTCATTCTTTCCTTAATTAGCTCCTATTCAGCATTCAATGATTATTGGGTAGTTGGCAGCTTAATATCAATATGACTATCAAAAACAACTCACAGTTGCGTAAAATTTTACTGTTTTAAATCATATTACAATTTTATTCAGACTGGTGCACCATATTGTTATTTTTATAATATTTACCTACAAGTAAAACGTATAAGATGTTATGCTTATGGTTGCATAATTCTGGATATATTTAAAAATATGCCAAATAAGCAACTGCAACCTTGTTTTGATTTTTAAGACTTTTTATAATTTGAAATCCTAATTCCCTAATTAGTCAAGAAATTTTCCGAAAGAATTCCTAGATCCAACCGGGAATTAAATCAAACATCTTCAGCTTAGCAATACCGTGCCTAACATTTTGTCTTGTTTTCTTAATTAGAGAGACTTTCAGTACTACACAACATACAAATTCATGCATTGGTTGGTATTAAAACCTCTCATTTAACAACTGTAGAAGTGCTTCAAAGAACACGAACATGAGAACATACATGAGCTTGAGTCGAAGCAACCCTGTCACTTAGCCTTAACTGACTAGGCCATCTGAGGTCCTGAACATCCTTCCAAAAGTTCATTTGGTTCTAACATAAATCTGCACTAGCTCTTTGAAGCTAATAAAGAATATAAAAAAAACGATTGTTTTGATCAACTCGTCTAGAAGCTGGATAGCTTGAATTTATAAACGTCCATAGAATTAAAAAAAAAATGAAAAACCAACACGATTTGTTCCTCTATATGCATATATATCAGGAGATCTAGTATCGAAGCCCAGTTGGAGAAAAGACGAGTTCCTACAAAATTTAACACAGAAAAACCACTTGCAGCAATTTCCCTGAGAGTAACCGTGATCATCTGAAATCGCCTTTTTGGATTTGAACTGGGTCCATTGAACGTTTAAGCTCGCAAATATATCAGTTTTATTCAAGCCACAATTGTTATCCTCTAAAGCTGTCGCATCGATTTCTTCTAAATGACGTATCTGTCCCACTCATCGCCACCTTCATACAGTAATCCTCACGCACAGGGCGCGAGCAAAAGGAGTAAATCTATAAAAAGCGGGGCGAATTATGCTACTATAATCAGTTCGGTTTCGCTACTCGTGTTCAAAACGCACCCTCTCTTTGGGTTGTTCGATGCGTTGAGCCCATCAGCGTAAGGCATCAAGTAAGTTCTGCTTCAAAGCTTGTAGTGTGATCGTGGCTTGGAGACTACTACTGGAGACGGTGGTGGTTGACAGTGAAATTGCTGGCATAGTTTTGCCCGAAATCGGATTGAGCGATTAAGTCAACATTTTTTTTTTCGTTGGAATGCCGGAACAAATCAGTGCAAATCATGTACAATAGGACCTTTAAAGGGCTGCTGAAGTTCAAGTTTATTGATGTGGACCTTGGGGTAGTGTGCTTCTAACAACAAAGAACTGTTTGTTAGTTTGTAGTGAGGAATTTAGTTGTTTTATGTGCATATTTATCTCTTGTAAATTTAATGAGTTTGATTTGTAAGCAATTATCACCTTGTGGTGAATTTTGAGTTAACTTAAAAAAAAGGTGAAAAAATACGGTATGAAAGTGGGCACTTGGTTTGAAACATATTGAGAATCATACTTGTGGTTAACCGCATAATTCCGAAAAATCAGTAGGAGTGATTTTACTTTTATTTAAGAGATCTTAAGGCGAGTTTACGTGTATTGAAAAGCTGTGGTTTTACTGTGTACAATAAAATTGCATTGCATTGCTCAACGGGAAGCTCTCCGCAGAAAAAAAAATAATCATAGAAAATCAGTTATTTCCTTCGATTCATGAGAAAATTTACATGTAAAATCTTTTATTCTAACTCAATGTGAATATTTGATAGACTTGCCCTCGGCTGAAAATCACTTTAATGAAGTTTAACAAAAATAGGCACTAATCAAAATCGCAAAATTAAATTTTTCCGGTTTTTGGGACCAACTATTTTATAGCCATGATGACAAAAAAAAAAATGTTTTAACGCTTAAATTTTCTTTAGAATTAAAAAAAAAGCATGGCATTTTTCAATTTTTGATACCATTTTCACAATTTTTCAAATCAAAACGTATTATTTTTTGTTGAAATACGACCATGGTTTTTCCTTTAAGATTTATATTATTTATAACAAAATGTTCCTAGCTGTGACAAGTAGCGATTACGATCATCCAATGTCAAGATCAAGCGCAAGGTCAAGCTCACTGAGAATTATTGGTGATACCAGACGTGATTTTGTTTTCTTAATCCTGGATATGAAAAAACAATCAATTTCTGAGACTTGGTACATAATCAGTATGTTTTCTGGCTAGTATTATTAATTCAAGATCTCAAACGTAGAAACATTATCAGAATCTTAAAGTTATCAATATTCTGGACCTTTGAATATTTGTGCAAATCTCAAACTCAGATAAATGTCCTACATGTCCGACTTAGAAAAAATTTCTTAAGATTCCAGGCTTTGAAAAATGTTCAGACACTAGGATATATGTACATAAAAAAATCCAGTTTTTTGAAAAAGTTGAAAAACATTTTTAAACTAGCATCAAATAAAAGAGAAGCACCCAAGATTTCGTTTAGTATTTCAGCGATACTTTTTTTATAATAATGTTGTTCTGCCAGAGTGCAGTGGGCCAGAAATGCAATCGATAACTTTTAAACGAAGCATTTCCGAAGCTTGGTGTAAACTATGAAGCTTCTCATTAGAGAGGGTCTACACAGAAAAAAATTCTGAAATTTGAAGGTGATGTAAACATCCATGCATGCAAACATTCATACTTGTAAACTTCCTTTTCACGTAAACTACCAAAGTTGCAACAAATGTTGCATACAAAGATGGATGGTTGCATACCATATATGGTATATTTTAAGAAATGTCTCATAAATTTACACGATCCATAATATAAACTTGTTTGATATAAGACGCTCCATTTATGTGCATCATAGTGAAAGAAATGTACCCTACTTTTTCGAACTGTGTAGGATAAGAATCTTATGGGTGCCTTCCATTCATTTTGACTAAACAAATGTTTTAAGAAATTATGGAATAATAAGACATTATGAAAATATTTTGATTACGTAAACAACAAGAAAAGATTGTTAAGTTTGTGTTTGACACATAATACCTGCCAATTTTGCTACATGAGAGTCGCAATAAGCGATTTTGTAATTTATCTCACCCACTCTTCGCTCTTCACTCTTCGCGAAGAGACGATCAGAAAAACGCTCATTGTGACTCTGTCAAAGCTAAATTTGCAGGTTTGATGTGTGAAACACAAACTTTACAATCTTTTCTTATTACTTACACATACAAAATATCATCATAATATCCTATTATTCTATAATTTTATAAAACATTTTTTTAGTCAAAATGAATGGAAGGCACCCTAAGATATCAGTGGATTCAAAACAAACTACCTTGGCAACCTATGTGTAGGTGGTTTCTAGCATCACTGTCCATGCAATCAAGATAGGCCCGCTCTATTTCTCATTATAACAAAAAATCTAATGGCAGCACCAGATAATTCAAAACTCGCGCCATCTAGAAAATCTATCTTTTTACTCTGACATTGTGGAGACTTGATGTCTTCGTCTGGAGAGTCTAGATTTCTAAAAATAAACAACTGAACTCAAGGTACCAAAGTATGTTTCTGAGTTATATTTGAATATTTAAGTTCAGGCTACCTCTCTAGATTGATTTCAGATCGAATGCATGGGAATACCGTTACTTTTAGGTGGATCATGTTAAAAAATAATTTATAAAGAAATAATGAAAACAACTGCTGTATTTCCATTTTTTTTTAATAGCCTACATATGCTCGTGAAATTCCAAAACGAAGAAAATTAACCCCTTAAATTTAGTGGTATCAAAAGCTTTTTGATTGAAAATCAATTGAACTAGTTCGGGTCTTTCAAAAATGGTAAAAATCGTTTTTTTTTTGCAAACAGTGTAAATCATACCACCATGTTGAAAACTAATAATACTCAAATTGAAAATGACCCCAGAATTGATTTTGGAAACTCATCAAGATTGATTTTGAGGTAGAAAAATGCCGAATGGATTGAATATTTTGTGGAAGCTGACATTTGTACTTTTGAAGTTTCACGCTAAGGCTTTTTTATAGTATCACATTAAATTGGTATGGATTAGCCCTAAAAAATATTCCCACAATATCATTCCAATACCAAATTAAGAAAATGCAATACGAAGACGACATCAACCATTGCTGTTTTTTCTACCACCACGGTAATAGCAAAGGGGTAACTCTAAGACCAGAAGGTCCCGAACAACCTGACAGCGGTTTGTTTTTTTTTTCAACCAGTAAAACGCTTGTATTAGTGAAACTGCTCACTATTACCATAGAGGTAACTCTAAGACTAGAAGGTCCCGAAATAACGTGCTCAACTTTTTGGCTCAGCTCTGGTACCCTGGTATTCTCTTCGGTCCCAAGCTATTCGATTCACCCCTCGAAACATAGGAAAAACCAATAACCCCTCATTTTATCTGTCAAACTTTCATAGCGAATCAAAACAAACATTGCGTAGTACTAGAATTTCGACTAGAATGGGGAACGTTAATCGTTTGCTTGGGACCAATAGGCTAGTCAAGTAGTGAGCCAATTTAAAATCGGTAGTTTCGTATTGATTGTTTGTTATACTGGCTACTAGCAAAATCCGTTCACGAAATATTTCGTGAATTTTAAATAACCTGAAAATCAATCAAATAACATTCTCAATCTCATTCTTAATTACAGCATGTTCCCACAGCTTCTACTTCTGTGCCTGTACCTTAAATTCAGCTCGGCAGCTTACTATTCCGTTCAATCACCATATACCAATGCACCAGGCATAAACTATGCTGGTGGACAAAGTCACTATCAGACGGGATACTTAGCGGGTCCAGCAAGATATTCAGGCTCTGTACAGCCCGTCGTCAACGTTGCTGGCCAAGGTCACTATCAAACGGGATATCTACCAGGACAAGTACGATATTCAGGCGCTGTACAACCCGTCGTCAACGTAGTTGGAAACGCTGCTGGACAAGGTCACTATCAGACAGGATATATACCAGGACAAGTACGATATTCCGGCGCTGTACAACCCGTCGTCAATGTAGTTGGAAACGTTGCTGGACAAGGTCACTATCAGACAGGATACTATGCGGGTCCAGCGCGATATCCAGGCCCTGTACAGCCTGTGCACCTAGTTGGGAATCCCTCATATCCCTCATACTATTCATACAACATACAGGCACCAGTATCTTTTGCCACCCATCCATTTCAAACATACGGTCATGCTGCCGTCACTCCGGTAGTGTACGGTACAGTCCAACGACCAAACGTTGTAGCATATGCTCCACAACCTGTTCAACCTGTAGTTACGCAATATCACACACCAGCTATTCAACCGGTTCATGTTCCAGCAGCACCTGCTGTACCTGTTCACGTTCCAGTAGCAGTCACTCCGGTTACCCCAATAGCATCAGTTACACCAGTTACCACAACTGTTACGAAAACAATTACCAGAGAAGAGGAAACTGTGTCATCCAGTACGGAACCTCCAGTTCCCGTTATCAAATCTCGCAGATATAAAGTAAGAAGACCAGCCATTCAGAATCAATTTTATGACATTGAAGAGCGAGTTATCATTCGACCTGTTGGCAGTGCTCTAGTGGAGCTGGAACAACCTGCTTCCAGGACCGAAACAAAAGTTACCACGCACACCGTCCAATCACAATCGGATCGAGGAAGTAGTGGTCGTGGACGCACGGTTACTACAGAAACAGCGACCGTAACGCCGAAGCCCCAAATAATACACACGGTGTATCATCAAACACCTGTTCAGCACACTCCGGCAATAGCTCCACATCCTGTCATCATTCATGCTAGCAGTGCAGGGCACGTGGTTCCACAGGCCGTCGTTCCGCACTTTCAAGCCCCGGTTTATGTGAACCATGTGCAGCCTGTGTACATTCCAGCGACTTCCGTCCCAGTTACCACCTTCAAGCCTACTTATCACGTAACTGTACCTGTTGTCGCAACACCTGCACCAACTACCGTCTCTTCCACTACTACCAGCACTGGTTATGATTACGACGACTCTGTAGTTGTTGAAGCTCGCGGTGGCAGTGGCACATTCCATGGTATAACATCCACTGAGGCACCCTTCGAGCATTCCACATTAGATGCCACAGCAAAATATCGTGACGATGAGCTGCCCAAGCGAGGAGATATTGCTATTACTTATGCTTCAACCGAAGCAACTCACCAAAGCCTATCAGAAGATCAGCAAACTGCAACAGATCTTACCGTTACAGCAAGATCCAACCTCAATTCTCGCTTCAATGTTGAAAACCAAAATCAATCTCAATCAATCGTATCACAGAGTCAAGAATCATCTCAATCTCGCAATGCAAAAATCAACGAAATTACTGCGACATCTCCAAGAGTCTTAATTTCAAATGGACTATCAGCCGAACAAGCTCGCAGTAACCAAGAACAATTCATCCGATTACTTTCGGAAAGGGACTCTATTGCTGAGGTAGGCTATGGGCCCAACACCGACACGTCAAGCAGTTTGATCAATACATACGTCCGAAGTCGTGTCCTATCGGCAACACCTGCTCCGCAAGGTAGCAAGGAAACGAGCAGAACTGTCAATATTCGAAGAATAATCGTCTCAAGGCCCATCGAGACCGAACAAGAGGTAGAAGTTCGAGAACAAACATTTTCTCCCCATAGCACCGCACATCAGGTCACGTCCAGCTCAGATCAGGTTCCCGTCTACTCGACAATCAAACCACCAGCTTTTTCGCATGATGACGCCAAATAAAAACGATGCATTTATATACCGCAAAATGAAATAAACGACCATTGTTACCGAAATCCGGCTTTAATTTCACTTTTACCGAACTCATTTAGAAATTCAAATTTCAATGCGCAAGAACTCACGACTTACCGAATTGCTCAAGTGCTGTGTTCAGTTGGATTCCATTTGTCGCTTTAATCACGCAGTCACGCGCAAGAAGTTCATGCATATTTTAGTTTGTAGATGCCATACGTATCAAAACAAAATAGATCACCGTCCTAGACCTTTCAGCATCTCACTCAAAATTTGGAAGTAGGTATGTGATTTGATGACAAGTAAATGTTATGTAATCTGGTCGACTTCCTGTTTTTGCAATCTAGATTCCGTCCGAAATGTCATATGATCTTTCAAATGTTCATGATTCACTATACTAGAAGATTATATGAAGCAGCACTAAATCTGCTGATTTATGACGTTTTGTTCGCTCAATAAATTATAGTAAACTAAAAATCATAAAATCGATCCTTTGCTCATAAAATTATGCATTGCAATCATAGATTAAACACTTTCGTTCGAAGCGTGCGATTCACCCACACATCGGGATGTTAGGAAAATGTTCAAATCAGTATAGGGTACATGTACCAGTTATGGTTATATGTTTTTATTATGGTTTGTTCAAATTATGACCTATGGGCTTTTCACATACCACACACATTAATGGGAACGAATAACCATGCCTGATACATCTACCGTATGCGATGTAATGGTGCATCAATAGGGAAACAAAGGCTTGAAAATTTTGTCACAATCAGGAAAAAGACGTAATTCTGGATGCTTTGTAATCAGGGTTGCTTCCACTCACTTGCTATAAAAACATATTTTTCGGAATTATGCAATCATTAGATGATAAAATTATATGTTGTACTTGTAAGTAACGGGAAGAGGGTTTAACGAATGTGTTTGACTCATAAAACCTGTCAATTTTGCTTTCAGAGCGTCACAATAAGCGATCTTATGATTCGTGAGCGTTCACTCAGAGTGAGCACTCACAAGTCGTAAAATCGCTGATTGTGACGCACTGAAAGCAATATTGACAGATTTTATGTGTCAAACACATACTTCACGTCCTCATCTTGTAACTTAAAAGTTCTAATTATCACTATACCATCTCATGATTTCATAATTCTGAAAATCATTTTTTTTAAGCAAGTGAGTGGAAGTAAATTGAAATTAATTCATATTTATTCTTTAATATTTTAGTTTAAAGTTCGAGTAACAATCTTCTCCTACATCTTTGTGCCTACCTTCAACTAAGTGTTTTTCACATTATTCGAGTAGATTAAGAAAGCGTATCCTACCACTCGTACATATTGGAACGATTATCATGGAAATTTATTTTTTTCATTTTTTTTTATTATTATAGTCACTTGGGTCTTGACTTGTCCGGGGGTAAGATTTGAACTCGTGACTTTGACGTGAGAGGTAAGGATGTTAACCACTACGCCGGGGTCGCCATCGTCATGGAATTATTAACGAGGTTATTATTATTCAAATAGAATTGACTACGCGAAGGAGCTTGGTATTGAACCCACGGTCTTCTGCTCAGTAGGGGAACGAGCTCCTTTTTAATCATCGAGTTGCTGCTATTACCAACCGGTGGAAACTAACGATTTAAAATTAGCTCACTACTTGACTCCCAAGCAAATCGATTAACGTTCCCCATTCTAGTCGGAATTCTAGTACTTCACTATGTTTTTTTATTCGCTATGAAAGTTTGACAGATAAAATGAGCGGTTCGTCGATTTTCCTATGTTTCGAGGGGTGCATCAATTAGCTTGGGTTTGAAGAGAACACCAGAGAAAAAAAAACTAAATAAAAAATCTCTCAAATATTAACTGTGGAAGTGCTGTAAGAACATTAATTTCAGAGCAGGTGAAGCTCGTTTAAGAAGTCGTGGTATAAGAATGTTCAGGAGTTCTATTTGGTTATTTTTAGAACACGAATGACGTGCACTGACCGATTATCAATGTCTGATACTATTTTGGAATCAAAGATGATGACTTTCAGATTAGACTTTTTTTAAATACAAGTTAGCGACTCCCAGTTTGATAAAAAGCTTCTGAAAACATTTTAGTATTGGAATTTTCGGAATGGATACTGCTTGGGGAGACTGGAAATCTTTACCTGACACAGTATTTAAACATGAATTACCAAATATAAGTTTAATTGATTTTGTTGGTAGCTTGAAAAATCTTATCAAAACATAGAGTTACTAAATTGTAAAAAAAAAAATACGGAGCTGTTTTTCAAATATAAATAAATCGATATTAAATTGTTGAAATACAATTTATTTAGGCTCCTCCTGGCATTTCAAGAAATGTGATTACTAAAAATAAGTCTTGAACAAAACATTATGTATCAGATGTAGTTTGGGGATTAGGATCAATCTAAAAAATGCAAAATGTTGAAAATAGACCGTTTGGTAAACTACATCAATCGATCCAGGTATGATAAGTTTGCTTTTTTAATTGTTGTACATGCTGTTAAATTTGGGTATTTCGTAATTAATAATATAATCTGGATCAACAATAGAAAAGGGCTCATAAGAATTTGTAAACAAACCGTTTCAAAGCCCTTTACTCACAAAGCGAAGGTCACTCACACAAACCAAAACCATCTTCGGATATGGGAAACTTCTACTTACACGATGATGGTGTTGGTTTGTCTAGACTGTCTTCCATTTGTGAGGAATGGGCTTTGGAACGGTTTGTTTACAAATGCTGATGGGCCCTTTTCTATTGTTGATCCAGTAATTTAAAAACCGCGTTGTTTGAACTCAAATGCATGTTCGTACCTTTCTTAGCAAGATAAGGAAATATGTCTCGTATCCATAACTGTATGTGGTGAATACAAATCGAAACAACTCTGAACGAACGCAAAGAGTGCGTTCAATGTTTCCAATTCGAAGAATCGGCTCATGCACGAATGATCGAAGCGAGCTTTCATGCTTTTAAGGCTAAAGGATTTCAGTAATCAACTAGTTCGTTTCTTATGGCAAAGCTTTTAATATGCCAGTAGAACTGCAACTGAGTATGGGTGCATTCTAATGCTAACATATTTTTGAATGCTTGGAATCCATTGGGTTAAGTTATTTAATGTAATGTTATCGTAGCTGAGTGATCTGCGTTTTTTTTTAATTAATCACACAACTGATTGACGAGCTATGATCCGTGTACACATTGTTAATAAAAGCTTTTGAATTTGCACCATAAATTGTAATTTAATTTTTTAATATGTCATTTATCCTGAAATGGATAATGCGATTGTAATTAAATCGTTAAGCAGCATATGTATAAATGTAAGCTGCATCTACATTAGAGCTCAAAAGTCATGTGGCGAATTGTTTTTTGATCACATTTTTTTTCCTTTCAAGATTTTTTTTTTGATTTTTTCCTGACGTGGTTAAGCTCTTAAATATGAGTGTTTTGAGGCAAGTAACAGAAAGAAATATTTTGAAAAACCTCACTAAAACTAATTTCATACAGAATGCGTGAAATTTTGTAGCTTCTTGATGTAACTTAAAGCTGAAAATTTTCAGAAATCATTCAATTCAGGCGTAAAAGCCATAAGCCGCTTCATTTAGCCGAAATTACAGACCATTAAGGAATGGTATTAAGGAGATTAATAAATTGAATTAATAGGTCTTTGATTTACCACCCATTCAACTAAAATAGCGACCAGAAACTCTGCTACTTTGAAGGAATTTATTGTTTAATATATTTACACAACACTCTCAATTGAAATCAATAAATTCAACTCGTTTTACTAATATTTACTGCCCGAATTACTGAGCTATTATTGAATAAAAAGTATACTTAAGGCAGCTTGATGAAATGAATAAAATAAAAGATAAATTTCAATCGGAATATTACACATAAAAATATTAAACCTCAATTTAATTTTAATGCTCAATTAAATACTCTTCTAACTTTCATTGTTATTCTCCATTTTACTTAATTTGATATAACGTTGTTTTAATTTTTTCTTAGTATGTTTTAGAGCAGTGAAAAATTAAAAAAAATCCACATTAAAACCCCTTTATATTCTGACATTTGCTACGCACACACTAAGATTTTGTTTTCGTGTTCGGTAAAACTTTGACCTTCATTTTAAAGGCTATTGAGTTTGAAAATAATTTCAAAACATGTTCAACCTTCAAATTGTTTTTATGTTACTTCATACGCGAAGTTAGCGATTGTCAGAGTTGGTTGGAAATGCTAACATGAAGCTTTAGTTGGATAATTTTTATTAGCTAGAGAATGATCTTAGAAGATGGTAGGTAGATAGTTCCGTTAGAGTAAGGCAGTATGAAAATTGAATAGAAGTTGAAAATGAGCGAAGGGCCATTAATGCGACAGTTTTTAAAGTCAAACGCACATCTTTTGCCTAACCCGTACGATGTACGCATAGACTTGAAGTATGTCTTCAAGTTTACAGGCCTGTAGGAAAAATTCTCGAATATGAGAAGTTAAGATTGGATAGTCTCAGTCTATTGGTACAACTCGTAGCCAGCGTAAAATTTTCGTCAATTTTCCTCATGTTCCGGCAGATTTTTGAGGTTTGGAGCTCTGGAAAACATGAAGCAATTTTACTTATAGCTGAGTTCCTTCACTTTCTGCGATTATGAGTAAACCTAAATCCAAATTTGGGTTAATCTCACTGGTCATGTAGTATTAATTTGCTTGGGGAAATTTTTGATAAATTGACGTTTGAATACTTGTTTTTAAAAGCAGATACGTCCTTATTGAAATCCTTGAATTGATTGTAAAGAGATTTTTCAACCTCAGTAGGTATTATCAACCAAACGATTCTCGAACAAAAATTGGCCCTGGTTGCGTGAATCTACTTTCTTACTCGGAGATATATGCACTTGGGTGGGTCAACTTTATAAACCCCTCCCCTCTGCTATTTTGATCTGTATTGGTGTAACGATCAACTCATGAGTCAAATTTAAACAAATTTGGTTATGATCTGGATTTGCGGGAGAACTTTAAAATTTGTATGGGGAAAGTATCTC